AGAAAACTTATAAACTTACATGTGGTCATTTGTATCCTTACCGATGATAATTTTATTATACAATCTTATGATGCTGTTTAGTGTTATGCGTCCACTTATTAATCCCATCCCCTCCCCTCCCCAGGGGTAAGAAAACTTATAAACTTACATGTGGTCATTTGTATCCTTACCGATGATAATTTTATTATACAATCTTATGATGCTGTTTAGTGTTATGCGTCCACTTATTAATCCCATCCCCTCCCCTCCCCAGGGGTAAGAACACTTATAAACTTACATGTGGTCATTTATATCCTTACCGATGATAATTTTATTATACAATCTTATGATGCTGTTTAGTGTTATGCGTCCACTTATTAATCCCATCCCCTCCCCAGGGGTAAGCGCCAGGCATTCGAACTGTTGAAGATTGGCTTGTTCAAATTTCCGTCCCTTTGGGCAAAAATTGTGTTCAAATATCGTAAATGGCAAAATCAGCGAACGTGACTGTCTTCATATTGACCAAGCTTTAAGACCAAGACCTTCTGCGCCATTCGTTTGCGAAAGTGAACTGTTTACCTTAAAACACTCATATTTTAAGATATAACACTTGCATTCCGCAGGAAAGTCTAGACAGATCCGGTTCAAATTGCCCACCCGAGCCAGGCAAGGTTCAAAGTCCCCACCCGGGCATGGACGACGGTAAAATGCCTCAGGGTTCCCCGGGGGGAGGGAGGGGGTTGAAGCTTCGAATCAAGCGGCGTGGCGCATAAATTGTGAATTAACAGTAGTGACCTAAGCTCTAGGACTGGTTTAGACTGAATTTTGCCAATTTTAAGACACAACATCTATGTGGTTTTTTTTTTCAATTACTTGCTTTCTTTGCAACAATGTAAGTGGAGGAATTTGTCTGTTGTCAGTTCAGTGTACAACAAGTCAAGCTTCTCATCAGACAAATGTATGCTTTGGTCCTGATTCTTAACAAAACGTTATACAGATTTCACGAGTTCTGTATTCGAGGCTGGTGTATTGTTGGAAAGAAACAAACCTGTCCTTACTGTAAGGAGAAAGTGGACCTCAAGAGAATGTTCTGCAACCCGTATCCTTTTTCAATTGTTATTGTTGTCGTTGTCGTTGTTTTTGTTTTTTTTTTTTAATTAGACGGTTTGAACCTCGGAGTAACAGACGGTCAGTTTTACTGTAGTGTTATTGGCTGCAACACCCGAGTAGCATTCTACAAGCATTGACTATTTGCGGGTTTCAGTGTCCTGTTCATTTCTCGTAGAAGAAATACAACGATCGTGCGGGTGACCCTCTTCGCTCCCTCCTTATGTTTATCGCCCTCCTGTATGACTTGTAGAGAGATACCACGACAGCTCTAAGGTCAAGGTTGAATCTAATGTCGAATGAGCCGGGTTATGGAGGCCCGAATTTGTCAACAAATAA